GTAGATTTTTATCCACCACTATTTCTAAATAATTTGTAGGCTTATATAATTCACCACTTTTTAGAAGTTAGGACATGCTATACCTTTTAAAAAAAAAGTAAAAATAGTCAAATATTTTCAAAATTTACTTTGTAGTTATTTACCATTTTATTAATTATTTTGGCATCTCTGTCAGGGGTCTGCCCAGGTCAAATTTACAACCGTTTAGAGGTACCTTCACAAATTCAACTTTAGGAAAAACGGTAGTTTCACAAAATACTTTTTCTTAAAATTTTATTTTTGTATCCCTTAAGAAACAATAAATCCATATTTTTGTGTTGATTTTTTAATATAATTTTTAATTTTCACAAATTATGTCTAAATTTTTACAAAATAGGTACCTCTTAGAAAAACCAAGACAGACCCCTGGCAATATAAAAGGAGTATAAATTTGTTAATTAAGTACTGCATTGGCGTGACTGCATGTTAGGAGCAATTTTGGGCTTCAACTTTACACTTTCAAAACAGTTTGAAGCAAAAGTTATTGCAGTTTTAAGTGCTGTTTGTGTTTTGGGTGTTTTTACTAATTACACATTATTTAGCTGAGCGAAAGACTGATACATCATCAAGTTCTATTACAAATACAATCTAGACTACAATGGAATGAAAAAGCAAAAAAAAAAAAAAAAAAAACACTTGACAATTAGTTCAAGAATTAAATGATAAACTTGCAATAAAAAATACCATGCAATTTGCTATAAAGCCTGCCCAAACACTATTACTGAGCTTAAAGAGCAGATTTTATTTATGAAATGAGCTTTTCTGAAATTCCAATTTGTTTGAATTATTGCAATTCGGAGTGTTTAAAATTTTTTCCCAATATTTGTGGTTAACTAATTATTTATCCATTGTTGTCAAAAATTTCATAAATATCACGCAAAATCTTTTATACATTAAGTTGATGTTGAAAATAATAGAAGGAAAAAGGGGAAATTTTTTTTTTTAGATTAGATGTTGCCAGATATAAATCCAATCATTAATACTGGAATTTTTAAAAATACAAAAAACATAAGTCAAGTAAAAATAGTTTCAAAGAAATTATAACTATTTTGAATTAACATTAGTGAAGTTACTAATAATTTATTTCTTCTTATTGTTTACTGAAAAATGCAAAATACAATCCATTATTTTTTAAATCCAGCAATAAAGTACATTTTGTTACAATTAGCATATTACAGAGCATTCTTAAATAAAATTAAGGCTACTAGGAATCTATTAGTTAATATTATATTAACAAATAGATTTTTGTTTCGAAAAACAAACTTCAAGGAGATAAAAAAATGAAAGAAGAATACTCATGGAGAGTGATAAGAAGAGATTCCTAGTAGCATAAAAAAAAATTAAATGAGATCGAGATAACTAATTGTTTCAATAGATTTTCAGATGCATTCTTGTCAGATTATATTGGCGATCGAAATGGGCTGCAGGTGGCGTAGAGCAGAACTCTTTTCCTATGGCAACACTTCACATGCTTTCCCCATTAGCGTGTGGAAAGTCATAGAGGAAGGAAGTACGTTAGTTTCTCTCTTGATTTTCATATAGTTTAAAATCTTTCAACTTGAAACACTATATGAAACTGAAAACTGCATTAAACATAGTTCTAAAGAAAAGTATCATGGAAATTTTAAAAAATATTTTGATTAAATAAAAAGGAAAAATATTAAGAAAAGGTAAAATATCGTAGTACATTCCTATACAACTGAAAAGAGGAGGAGAGGGAAGGGAGAAGGGCTGAAAGCATGAAACCGGTCTCTCCCCAGATGGCGTATTCGAGTGTTGCGATCGCGAATAGCAAAAATGCTGCTCATTACTGAGGCTGTAATAACTTAACTTCCACTTTTTAAATTTGAAAATGAAGTAATAAAACAAATTTACCAATTAAGTAAACAAAAAATTATTCCAATAGTTATATATATATATATATAAAAAAATTGCTTTCACTATGACTTAATTTTCTCTCTCTCTGTTTTGGTCATCAAATTTAGTATGTGATTGACGTTACCTGAATCAGCTATTTAACCTTTTGGGGACAGCTGGTACAATAGTTGTATCCTGATATTTTTGTTATAAAAGCATTTAACATATAAGAGACATGTTATATTGAAAACAAATATGGAATTGATGATTTTTCTTCTTCATTCTTCTGTTTTTATTATAATGCAGCATTTTAAAGGAATGTCTCGTACTATTTATCATTTTTTTCAGTACAATATTATAGATAACAGGTAACATAGGAAACTGTGATTTTAAGTGTTAAAGTTTTGCTTTAGGAATTAAGAACTATTTGCTTTTTCTGTTTCTCTTTTGTTCTTATCTTACTTCTCTTCTTATCTGTATTTTTATCATGCCAGCATTTTTGTTTTTAATAAACGTTACTAATAAACATTATTTTATAGCAATTTCTTTTTTTCTCCTTCTAAAAATACAACATGAAAAAGTTAAATTGAGATTTTCATTAAAAAAATTAAGAAACTTTTTTTGTTTTGGTTTCTATCTGGCTTTTTTTTGTTTTTGCTTCGATTTTTTTTCTTTTCTTTTTTTATCGAAGTTTTTATTATAAAGCAGCAATTTTTAAGAGCATTTCTGTTAGATTTGATTCTTTTTCCTTGAATATATGGTAATTGAAGAACTGACATGTTGAGCATTAAAATTTTCTTTCAAGAATTAAGATTGATCTTGTTTTCTCTGTTTCTCCTTCGTATATAATCTTAAATTATGATAGTTCGGCAATTTAAAAAGAGTTTCTGACAGGCAGTTTTTTCCCGAAAATATTATTCATATCATTGAAATTTCTGTTTCAGTGTTGCTATGCTGCTAAAAAATGTTGCTATTTGGCCTAGCAGAATTCGGCTGATTTTTTTTGCAGAATATTTCGGTATACAATTTAGTCACAATTCATTATCACATTTGATCAAATCACATTCATTGCTGAAAAACGAAGGAAAAATAACTAGGTTATACAATAAAATTGTACCAAAATAACAATAAACAAATGAGCAACTAGAAATTTGGGTGCTTTAATAACATCGTAGCTATATAACGAGATAGTCAAAATCACATGGAAAAGTATAGGAATAATTGGAGAAAAAAAAATCCCTTAAATTTATGACGAACTCAGCAAAGCAAGAATAAAGTGTACCAAATGCTCAATTTGAAATTCATGTGTCGTAATAAAATTATCAATTTTATTATATTACTTGGGTATGCATAGCAATAACTGTTTAAAAAATTACAGAAAAAAAGAAAGAAATTGCCAAAAAAATGAGAAAAAAATCACTTAGATGTTGTCCTAAATAAGCTATTATTTATATGAGGGTCTGAAACTTTTGTGTCGTAATAATACTGTAATAAGAATTCAGGATTCTCACAATCATGTTGAAAAGTGGAAATAACTGTCTAACACATTAACATCGCATTTAACACACATATAGAATCTGTGAAAATTGAGTGCATAAATAATTGATGATTCGAATGTGCGATTAAAAATGTTCATTGTGTTTAGAAGCTCCTGTGGGCTGCACTTCAGTAACAGGTTGTGCACCCCTATTTAAAACTTTTCGATATCACAGAAGTAATAGCTTCCAGAATATTTTCAAGAAATTTGTGATATATGTGTTAATAAATATAATCTATGTTAATTCTGTCTAGAGACTAATTAATCATAGTCAATTTGTCAATGTATCTACAATTTAAGTCAATGTTTGGCAGGTATATTTTCATTTTAAATGAAGCGTGTAATTATATTTTGATTGCAGCCATTAACGTAATAATTTTCAAAAAACTTCTAAATCAGGACCAAGAAAATCCTATTTTAAGTTTGATAAATTATGAGATCCTACTTTACTACTAAATCCCCAGATACTAAATTGGCAGCTAGAAAATTTTTAACTCTGAAAATTAAAAAAAAGAAAGAAAAAAAAAAACACAACAATTATTATTGGGAACCAGGGATCTGTCCAGGCCGAATTTACTACCGCTTAGCGGTACCTTCACAAATTCAATTTTAGGTGAAACGGTAGTTTCACAAATTCAACTTTAGGAAAAACAGTAGTTTCACAAAATACTTTTTCTTAAAATTTTATTTTTGTATCCCTTAAAAAACGATAAATCTATATTTTTACCATGTTTTTGTATTGATTTTGTAATATAATTTTTAATTTTTCACAAATTATGTCTAAATTTTCACAAAATAGGTACCTTTCAGAAAAACCTAGACAGACCCCTGGGAACACTTACTATCTGATACAATATTGAATACGATTAATAAGCCTCTGCACTGAATTATAACCTTATTTTTAACTAATTTCTAAAGCTATTTTTCAAATTATAAAATACCCCAATACACTGAGTTAATAAAAACTTTTTTAATATTAATATAAGGGAATAAAGAATGAATCTTTTGAACTGATAATAAACTAGCAATAACCATTCCTAATTATGTCTCTCGTTTTAATAATGCAAAATTCTTCTACATTCACAAACTAAATTTGAGAAGTTTTCAAATACTCATAGTACCTAGTTATTATGGATCTACATTATGGCTAAGAACCAACATTTGATTTTTTCCCCCAGACAGTGTAAATATTTACCAAAAACATTAATACATAGAGAATAATTTTACACATAAAAGTAGCGTCTTTGATGTTTTTTATTAAAAGCCTTTCTTTTCTTAACCTCAAAAGTATAAAAATTGATTACAATATTTCAAAACCGAACGAACATAACTACAACCGACTTCTTTTATTCAGCTACAAAGGAGAGAGAAAATACGAAGTTTAACAATATTTAAGCAAATATTTGGCGGAAATTCAACTGAAAATATCTTAGTGATTCTTTCAACTAAACAATGAGCAAAATAAGTATGGAAATAGTGGTAAAATCTTTATTATCAGGACTACATCTAAAATATCACAAATGTTAACAGAAAAACATATAATAGTTCATTAAAAAGCTATTCTTACCTCTCTTCCAAATAGTTCAGAGCCCAATCTATGACTTGCGTTACAACATCTTGCCTATTTAAATTATAGTTTCCTACAATTTTAGGATTAATATTGAACTCCGAAGTTTGCAACTCGTTGTATTCCTTGAGAAATCTCTTAACGTCATTAGCCATAATTTTTATATTCACGAGAGAAAAGGCACTCTTTAAATTTTCTTAAAACATCGGACAATTAAAAACTACGCTAATCTTTAACTAATTATCACAACTAAATTAAATTTCGATAGTACAAGAATTACCGGGAAAATGTCAGACACCCGCCCTTCAGGCTTTTTTATTTCACATACAAATCAAGTAGTAATAATTTCATTCATGTCACTGAGTTCTATGCGCCATCTATTGAGAGTATTATCATTTAAGACTTTAAATAGTTAATTTAATAATAGTATAAATAATATTTAAATATTAAAAAATATTGTCGACGATTTCCAAAATTTTTCTCCTGATTTTATTGCCGCTTACTTTTTTTAGCAATAGTTATTTCTTAATATTATAATATGTTTAAATGTACTTCAACTGGCCGAGAATGACGATATGGAAAAACCACTGAAATTTGTAAACAAACAGTGAGTCACGAGCATGATAAGAGCAGAAAAATTTTCTTACTCCTCAATTTGTTTGTCAGCATCGTTTCATCATATTTAATTCAAAATGACACTTAAAGTGTTTTATGATTTGATGTCACAGCCTTGCAGAGCTTTAATAATTTTTTTGAAAGTTAATAATATATCTTTTGAATCTAAAGTTGTAGCTCTGAGGAAAGGTCTCTCTCTCTTTTTTTAAAAATTTGAATTATAAAATTGGACTTTAGACTATTGTCTTTCTTATAAATATAGAGCTATGTTAAATTTGACAAATGCTTTACAAATATATTTGTAAAATGCTTTTTGAATTGCGCTACTACTTTATATTAAAATAAGAAATAGTCAATATGATTTTATGCAGGAATGATTTTCGGCTTTTGTCTGTAAATGTTAAACAAAATGATAATGCATTTTATGACTTGATGTCTTTATTTTTTATGCATTTTCCTGAAAGTAACTGTCGTTTAAATGTATAAAGGGTTGGGCTACATTTCTTCATTAAATTTTGCAATATCTTTTTCAAAAATACTTTTAATTTGAATTGGACTTAATTTTTATTGTTTGTTAATAGGTGAACATTTGACTGAAGCATTCAGTAAAATAAATCCATTCCGGAAAGTTCCTGTCATTGATCACAATGGTTTTGTTTTAACTGAAAGGTGAGTAAATCCTCTATAACCAATTGCTCTCAATTATTTAAAGTTTATTTCTTAATGCACGAGCAAATTAGCTTAATTTGCTTGTCCAAATGCCTTTTATTGCATCTATTTTGTAGCAGTGTTAAATGGTATATAAAAATTCCTAATTTTTTAAAAAAATATATTGAAATTTTTTATTTGTTGATAAGAAGAAAGATAACTTGTTTAAACAAAAGTTAGTATTATGCATTGTTGATGCTATTCTACTTTGAGGCTGTCTCGAAGTATTTAGAGAATATTTCCTTATTAACTACGTCAAAATATTCACCAAATTATGGCTATTTTCAGGTAGTGGTCCACGAGAAATTAGAAAGAAATTAATAACATTACAAAAAGAGAAAACCTCTACATGTTTTTATTTAAAAGTACATGTTTATTATTAGTTTAGTAAAATTCATTTGGCATCTTGGCAATTGTAGTTGGCAGGCAGATCACTAAATGAAAATATCCCCAATATTTAAGCAGTGTATATTTTGAGTATATTTGTAGTAACTACATTTGTTTAGGCTCCAAAAGGTTTTCAAACTTGCATAAATTTTAAAAGAAGAAAATCCAGAGAGGTTTATCCGTGGATGAGTACAATTTATGCCAGTTGAATATGACCGCTTCTGTGATGCGTTTTTCAGCTATTGCCCATGCTATTGCCAGATCTCTCCAAAACTTGGCAACAGGTAAGCAGATACATAAATCTTCTGAGTATTTTTCAGTAGCAGTGTAATGAAATAGGCAATATATTCTTATGCATTATACATTGTAAATAAGCAGGTAATTTAAACTATTTTAAGAAAGTGACAATATGTTTTTCTTCCTTACATTATGAAATAATATACTTATAATGTATAACATGTACTTTATAATTAGAGACCAAAATATGTTCCAAAACTCTGATGGGTAATTCTAATGGGTGAACACAATTGGATAATGTTAAATGGGAAATATTTGGGTATCATTACTACCATTGCCAAGGTGCCTAAGAGTTTGCTTACTTGCAAATATTTAAAAAACAATGGGTAGTGTTTTGTCAAAGTGTGTTTACGCATGATAACATGCAAGTTGGTACCCTTCTGTGATTTTTGGTCTGTCAGGTTGCTAAAATTTTAGGACTTTTTTTGGCGTAGGTAGCTGTACGAAAATCTTCTCATTGAACTAAATTGAGTTCGTTTTTGGAACACAATTTCAAAACTTATGCTATTCTGTTCTATTACAAAATAGATTAAATTTGAAATTCAAGTTTTTGTGATATACAAGAATTTTACAGATACTTTCGCTAATGCACTAATCGGAAGTAATGAAGATGAATGAACAAAAAATATTTTTTTCAGAGCTATTTGTTTTAATCAAACAGTTATTCATTTGTAGACAATTCCCTTTGATTCTGTTTTTTTAAAAAAAATTATTGATACAGTTTACTGATAAATCAATGATGAACGTAATGAAATATTTGAATTCTGTTTGATGTTATTTATAATTAAAAAAAACTAAACTTTGGGTGGAAAGTAACAGTGTTTTTCATTTTTATTCTTGTGAACAAGATATTTTATTTTAGAAATTCTTTACAATTCATAAATTATATTATTCAGACATTGCTCAGGTAAAAGTTGCCGCTAGAGCTTTTGTAACTTAATAGCTAAGTTTATAATTTGTAGGTTTTTTGGAACTTCTCCATTTTGCTGGCACAGGCAATAAAGTCGCCAATGCAAACTTATTGAGTGCAAGTGAATGCAACTGTTTTTTTTATTATTAAGTGAAGTTTTTTTTTATTTTCAAATAAATAGCTAGAATAGCCAAAATTATTTGTGCCGGCAAAATTAAAAAGTAAGATTTCTTGCAACTGTATTTGTTTAAGGTTTTCTTACCCTAAATGATTGCATGTAGTCATTTATAAAAATAAATAAAAAGCTATTGCTGGGAAAGAGAAAAAAAATAGCACTTTCTTTTCTACTTTACAGCATTTCTATGATTAGATATTTGTCAAGAGAATATAAGATCTTGGACAACTGGTACCCAAAAGATAGTAAAAGACAGGCGAAGGTTGATGAGTATTTGGAATGGCAGCATTTGAATACAAGATTGTTTGGAAGTATGATTTTTCGTGAAAGGGTAGGTTGTATTTCTTATCATTGATACAGGCACTATCGGCACTTTCAAACAAGTGTTTATCAGGGATGTGACTTTTCAGTCTAATTATCTAAAACTCTGATTCTCTAAAAGTTTCAGGTTTTTTTATAAATATGAATATTTAGCTTTTCTGGAAATTCAGTCATTGAAATAAGATTATATTTAATTCTGATTTTCAAAGATAAATAGAAAACTCAATCTACCTAGCTGCCAACTCTTCCCCATTTTTACTTATTTTAGCTTTTTTCATGCAGAAAATAAGATTTTCCGTCCCCCCCCCCGCCAGATAGCTCGTATTTTTTATTCAAACGTCACTGCTTCCTGTTTGCTGGTGCGAAAGCAAACAAAATATGTATATGTTACCGTTAAAGTATATAATGCAGTTATTTCATAGAATACCTAGTTATTCCATGAAATAACTGATCATGTCCGTTAAAGTGAGTAATATGTTATTAATTTGACACTTTAACTAGTTATTCTATGAAATAACTAGGTATTCTATAAATTAACTAATGAGAGACAGTTAAAGTGTAAAATAAACAATTTATCTAAAATGAAATAACTAGGTATTCCATAAATAAACTAATGATAGACAATTAAAATGAAAAAGAAGCAATTTATCTAATTTATGCAGCGTATAAATGGTATTTATGGAAACGTACCAATAAATCATTTGTTACAACAAGGATTACTAAAATGACCCTTGGAATTACAAAGAACATTATTTCTAAAACAGAAAAAAAAATTTGTTGACACACTGGGTTTTACATGAATATTTTTTGAATCCCTGACCTGTACCTAAACTTTCAGCTGTAGCAACCGACCGGAGCGATATTTCTATATCCGGTACTTCTTCGATTTTAATTAATTTTTGATCGCAGACACTGAACTGGGATCGGGAATATGATTGTTTTATGTGGCCGTTTCTTGTGCCCAAATGGAAAAATCCTTCTTCGGTTATTTTTATGATGATAGCTAAAATAGATTTGGCATCACCTTTTCCTCTGTCAACTTCAGGCACTGGGATGTGGACGGTAAACCCCACAGAGACTTCAGAATTAGATTCATCCGACATTAATTTAATCTTTTTCGCTTGAATTTCTAAGCATTTTTTAGACCTTTCTCTTTGACCATTAAAACACAATTAGCAGATTTTCTGATCAACTTCATCATATTTCACAGTGTTACGGGCTGCAGACCGTTATTCTATGAAATAACTAGTTATTTCATAGAATAATAATCAGATCTGTGTCTATTCAAATGAATTTATTTCTAGAAAGTGGCAGAATTGAGTACATTTATGTATTAAGCGCTTCAATAATTTTCAAAAAAGCTAAACGGAAAACTTTTTCTGCTTCAGTGAGTAAAATCTAAAAAAACTATCTTTATGCATATTACATAAAAATACCTTATTTGGGATTTTTCTGACTGATAGAAAATGGTTTTCTATTTAGCTTTCCTGAGAAGTAGTTAGCAGAACTGATGCCCTTTCTGCATATAGCAATTCAAATTATTTATTTTCTGTTTAAGTTTTATTAAATTTGAATTTTTTGTCTTGTATTTGAATAAACTATGTTATTTTAATCAATCATATCATTAAAACAAAAAATAGGTGTTCATAAATGGTAGTCTAGTGACATTTTCATCTGGATAGTGTATATTTCTTTTTCTGTTATAATGCATTATAATCGATCTTAAATCTAAGAACTAAGCATTTTTAAGAATGTAATGTAACTGTTTGACAAGATCAGAACTGAAAATCTTCAAGAGTAAATTAAGATTTACTTAACACTTTAATTCCAGTTTGATTTAACAAATTTATTTTAATTTTTACTACTAAAAATTTGATTTCTGCATAATATGATGTGGCTTATTTTTCTAATAAAATTTTATTATAGATTTGAATATAGAGCTGGTGATAAGTTTTAAGTTATTACTGTTATTAGTCAAAATAGTTATACAGCTCAAACATTTATTTTAAATATTTATAAAGAAAGTATAAATTCTACAACTTATTCATCGCAATTTATAGAAAACCACTTCAGTTTTTCTTTTTATGAGGCAACTATATTTAGTGATTTATTTAAAATATTAAACAGTTTTATCTATTATAAAAAAAAAATATTGTGTACAAAGTTAAAAAATAAAAAATGCTATTTGGAACTTGGGATGTGTCCTTTGCTGATATTTTCGATTATTTGTTTCAAGAGTAAAAATTGTTGCAGAGAAAATATATTTTTCCTCAACATTATTAATGTTTCTAATATAAAATCATACTGATTAGTTGTGACATCAGTATTTTATAAAATGTAGTTTTACCATCTGTACTCAAATTCAAAATTTGTGTGAAATTTATTCATTACTTATCTATTCAGTAAAATAAATAGAAGATATTTATAATCAAATTTAATAAAACTTTACCAATTTTATAAATAATTACTTTCTTTAAATTTTTGTTTTTAAAGCAGAATTTCATAATGCATGAATTACAAGTCTGCTTTAGACAAAATGCATTTAAATCTAGTTTAATGAAACATAATGCTATCTTTCATAAATATATCAACTAAACTGTAGTTTCAGTTCTATAAATAAGAACTTTTATTCTAATCTAGGATTAATTTACTCTCATTTAATCTTTTGCACTAGAGGGTTCTCTCTGAATCTTCTAACACCTGTTTCTTATCTCTCTTCTTTTATCATTTTGTTCCTCTGTCCCTGTTAGTTAAACCACTTAACATGCATTTACCTCTTATACTTGTCTGTTTGGTGTTTAGACCCTGAGGAAGGTTCGGTTTATAGAACTGAAACTATAGTATGTCCATTTCTGTGCTTTATTCATGGTTTTTTTTACTTTAGTTTACATAGCACTAAATATACCCTATCCTTTTTGGAGAACTTTTAAGTTGTTTTTAGTGCATAATTTTCTATATGAAAGGTACAATGGTTTTTTATTATCTTTCCTGTACTTTGTTTAGGTAATGAAGCAAATTAATGTATGTCTACATGCTGTTAAAATGACCAACTTCACAGTTTTATCTTCATATCAAAAATATTTTTTAAGTGTTGCACAGGTCACAGTTAAAATTATTTCTTGGGTTTCTATCTGTGCATTCTAAATTTTATTTATGTTTTAGGTAATTACACCGCTTATGACCCAGAAACCTATTAATGAGGAGAAAATCAAATTCTACAAGGATGGTTTTCAGAATGTTTTGAAAGATATTGAAAGGGGTTTCTTGCAGAATAAGAACTACTTATGTGGTGAAACAATATCTGTTGCAGATATTTTTTGTGCTTGTGAAATTGAACAGGCTCTTGCTGTAGGATTTGATCCATTTGCTGAAGCACCTTTAGTGAAGGCTTGGCTTGAAAGAATAAGACAAGAACTGGATCCCCACTACAGTGAAGTTCATGGAATAGTAAAGAAATTAGCGTCTAACATTGTAAGTGGAAAGTTGTAAACACTAGTTTCGTGTTTAAATAATATACAATCTAATGGTGATTAGTTTTAGTTTAGTGAAAACAAAGTTAAAACTTTTAATCTGATAAATCTTGTTAAATCTGATTTATAAATACAAGAAAATCAATTTACTATTAAAAAATATGTGAATATTTTTATAACTTTTTACATGAGTTTATAAAATTTATGCTGCCATTGTAACTTAGATTTGTATTTATATTTGTCATTTCCAGAATAGTGTATTTTTATTGATAATTGGAGATTGTTGAAAGTATTACTTGTCTGTATTTTTCTCCTTAACTTATACCATACAATTACTATATCTTTAAATGCCAAATGTATGGTTAAGTAATAAAAAAAATTATATCACGAAGAGCAATTTTAAAATGCCAAACATATAGTCAGACAAAGTAAAATGCTTTATATTTTGCAATTATTATTGAGACAGATTAATAATGACATAGATATAAAAAGAGCTAATTAGTCACTTTCTTTTAAATTACTATACTTCACTATTGAAGTTACCTTACTAAAATATTTATTTTTAAAATCACATATCCTCATAATTACTATACACTTGTTGTTTCATTGTTTGTTATTTCTTTAAATATCTGAACTTAATAAAATATTTTCAAATATCTTAGTTTCAAAAATCATTGATAAAGAAAATATAAAACTTTAGCACTATATCAATTTAACTATAGTTTGTTTAAAGTGAGAACTCCCCATACCATTCGTCTGGAGCTGTGGCAATGACTATGGTAATGAGGTATAACTATTTCAAGTAGGGGTGTGGGATCACTGTTTTTGACAGGTTTTAGCTCAAGTGAGCTAGAGAAGGGAGATCTTTTTCTTCAGTCTATTGTGTTATCCCTAGAGTGAAGAGAAGCTACCCTCCCTGAAATGCGCTATTATTGTTTCCATAGCAGTAGATGATCTCAGACTTTGAGCCGGGGGGAGTTTTTACCATAGATAAACTATACTTGCAATTTTACTGCATAATATGAAGAAATTTATGACTGGTAGGGTAAAGCTTAAGTGTAAAACACACTTTCGCACTAGTTAAATATATGCGAGAAGAGATTGACAGTTATTAAAATGTGATAAGTATTCATATCTAATTATTTTTTGAAGCTAAACACTAGTTTTCTAACGTTATTTAGAGGTCTACAACACTGGAATAAAGATAATTTTTAAACATATTTGCACTCATCTTCAATTTGAATTAGATTAAAGTAGAATGAAGCTAGACCTAAAAATGTTCAGAAAAGAAAAAATATATATATATTGTTAGATTCGTACAAATGTCGAAAGGTAATTTAGATATTTGAAAAAACCCTTTATTAATAAGTTATTTGCTTGCTTGATAAAATGAGTAAACATTTTGGAGTCTAAGCAAGATACCTTTGTGTAAATAATAATCATATGAATTGCTTTGGTAAATATTATTTTAATGTTCACACAATAACTAGAATGCCATTGCTTAGTTGCTTATATTAATTTTCTGTCCCTAGATGCTCCAATAAAGCATAGTTTTTTAAAAATATATACAAAAGATGTTCATGCTGCACAAAGAGCTGAATTTTTTTTTTTTTTTAGTTTTGGAGGTTACACTTATTTATTGAAGAGTAATTAAAATGATAAAAAAAAAACTATAGCTCTTAAAATCTATAGTTAAAGTCATTATTAAAATACTTATTTTTAGTCCAAATTTTAATCAATAAAATTTTAACTAATTTCAATGGTAAAATTACATCTATGTGCTATAATGATAATACACACAAAAATATTTGTTAAGAAAGAAACAAATATTTTAAGATAGAGTGAGTTCTGTGATCTAGAGTCAGTAGAGTGTGTTGAAAATTGTTACAACTGTCGCCAAAGAAGAGTAATGTAAAGAGTTTGAAAAAAAATCAATTTGTTTAAATGCCAGACAGTGGGGCATGTATAATACTAATTTTTAGCTTTTTATGTCAACAAGCAGTTTAATATTAAATTTAATAAAAAACCTACATTAACAGTATTGTTTTATTAATGACATTTCAATATTGTGCTGAATATATATATATATATATTTGTAAATTTTTCATACGAAAAATGCACTAAAAAAATTAAAGTCTGGGTGCAATTTAGACAGGTTGAGTAAAATCTAATGGGAATGCTCCCCAGTGATCTGAATTGAAACTAGAAGAGTTTTATTAGTTAAATTCTAAAATTAAAGAAGAATATTATTAGTTAAATAAATATTCTGTATTGTTAGTTTTTTTTCTCAAAAGTGATTTTAAATTTAGAATTTTTTTTATCACTTAAAGAAGTATGATGTCATGAGGAAACTTTGAACTGAATAGCTCAAAAAATTACATCAATGTTTGTAACTAAAAAGTAGAAGTGAATCGGAGACATACCATTGAATCTATGTGACAGAACACCCCGACTATTAAGCAATTAACTAATGTTATTCTGCATTATTTTAAAAAATTGCAATGAATAAAATTGGAATTATGACTAAAAATCTGTTGTCTACTGCTATAAATTTACAAATGAAAATATCTTCACCACTAACAACAAATACTTCTTAGATTTAATACTTTAATTTGTACATTACAAATGTTAGGATAAAATTTGTTCTTCTGTAAAACCTAAAGTACTGTTTTGGCTGCAAATATCATTCTTAATACTTCATTGCAAATATCATTCTTGAGAAATCTTATTACTTCTTGAACATCTTTAAATCAGCAGCAAACAAGACCTTTAAAAGAAGTCGAAAATAAGTTAACTACTAATAATGTTAATTTTACACAAAAGCATAAAATTAAAAAACTTTACAGAATTCTTTTCTAAAGAAATAGTATATTTTTTCATAATCATATATTTCAAAATTATTCTGCAAATTATGAAAGTGATTATAAAAAATAAATTGAGAACTAAACAAATTAAGAAAAAAAAAACTAAATTTCTATCTGTAATCTATCTGTCAAAAGATAAAATTTACAAAGAAAAAATATACTTTTGTGTCAGATCCTAATTATTGGTTGAACAAATTGTGCCCAAGTATAAGATGGCCACCAAACATTTTTTAACAGCTACAACTAACTGTCTGTTTTTTTTTTCATGTATTAAGAGTTTCGATAGCGGGTTTGAGTACCGTGTTGCTTGCTGAGTGAAAGAGCTGACCAAGCTCCTATCTATGACTGTGGAGTTCTTGATGCTCACCAGAGGGCCTTGCTGATTTAGTCAAGGCTGTTAAAAAATGTCAAGGCTGTTGTCTCATCTGGTGCTCTGTGCATTTTAGTTCTTTTTACAGTTTCCTGTTAAGCATCCAAAAAGAGCTTGTTGAAGTACCCTGAAAATGGTAAGCTGGCGTTCAATCTCTAAAGGTCTACCTTGGATTAATTTGGGCTGAGGCAAGTCTTGAGGATTTGGATAATGGAAAGTACTGGATTACTACCATGGATTAAACTTATTGAAGGTCCTTTGAATGGATTTATGTTCTGGCCAAATGCAATTCTTAAAATAACTAATGACAATAATTGTTATATTTTTACATATTGTTCTTCAATGGCTGTGTATTGTAGATGTCAAAAAATATTCGTGTTTTATTAAATTTGTTGTATTTCAGCCAAAAAAACCAGGTCTAAATGGGTTATTGCAGGTATTTATTTGAAATTGTATTATCACTTCTGAAATTTAATAGTTACTTTGATAATGCATGTCATGTACTGATACATAGTTTACAAAACGAGGCGATCTTCTAGGGCGTTCACCAAAGTATTAATTAATATCTATATAGTAAGCAATAAATTAGACAATATAATGTAGATAAGGCTACACGTTTTTTGTTAATCACCTTATATAAAATACTGTAATTAATTAGATGTCTACTGTAAATCTTACATTAGGTGAACGGGATATTGTTTAAATAAAAATTTCTATAATTGAAACAGAATATTCATAATCTGACAAAAATAAAAATTTCCAAATATAAAATAAAAGATTAAATGTCCCATTTGAATTGAAGAAATCACATTAGTCCTAGCTATCCAAACATAAATTAAAAAAAATATAAGAACCTGTCAATTTTTGCTAAGTCAAGATGTTACAATATCAATTTGAACAAAATTAAATTTAATTTTTGTAAAATTAATGTACCTTTAGTATCATAAAAGTTAATAATATGATACTAAAAATTGACAAGGGACTAAAAGATGTTACAGGCATTTTAAAGTTTAAACTACTAAATTTTAAGACAAAAATAAATATCTATACACATCTTTTATTACTTCTATCATACTAATTGGTAGTGAAAATTGACCATTAACAAAAACTGATGAAAAAAAACTTTTAATCTTAGAAAGAAAAATTCTTGAAAAAGTATTTGGCACAATTAGAGAAAATGATAGATGGAGAACTTTGTTTGGCGATAAAATCTACATAAAACTTAGTATTACCAGTCATCATATCATGTCAAATAGCATAGGCATATTCACTTTTAGATCTGACAACTTGAACCCTGAAATAGAAATAATGCAGCATACATACTGTGTTTGCCCATCCAGCGTAATCTCCAAATCTTTCTCTGTAAAAATCACCTAAAAAAGAATAATGTTATTTTGATGATTGCAAACGATTGGTGTTCATTTTCATTATAAAAATAATTACAAAATAAATGTCAAAAAGTTTTGTCATAACAACATATGTACACAGTATTTATTACTAAAATAAATAAATGTATTTAGAATAATACACAAAAAATACAGCATCTATATTAAAAAAAAGTAGGAGTGGCAACTGCTGTTTTAGAGGTTCAACTTTATGTTTCCAAATTACAAGACTTAGAAAGTTAAAAATATACAAAAATGTGCAGAGAAAAAAATTTTAATGTAAATTTTTTTTTTAACATTTCATAATAATTTGTGAATTATTAACTGTTAAAACTTGTAGTAAAAAATATCACTTGGGGTGTACTACAGTTCAAAGAAATGCAATACAGATTTGAAATTTGACATACTGAAAGGACTATTTTTGTTTGTTAACTTTTTTTTTTGTTTGTTTAAAAGTTGCAATTTATGTGCTTTTTCCATGAAGTTTTGCTCACTTTTTGCTTTAATTGCTACTTCATTAATCTTCAACTTATTTTATTAATTTTGCATCGTTAATTTTCACTTTTTGCTACTTCTCTTTGTAAAAATATTGTTGCAAAGATAAGGTTGTCTTAGAGTTACAGAGCTGTACAGCAAATATTTCACCTAGTTTAGCAATTCATTTTTAAGGTTATAAAAGAAAAGTGTTATTTTTCCTAATAATTAGATTTATTTTTAATTAGAGTAAATGATAAAATATAGTGTATTAAGCATATACTCTAATTAAATATGTCAAGTAAAAGTAAGTCACAAATTATATTCATTTAGGGTGAGTATAAAATATATATATATAGGGTGATTCTAAAAAGATGGGCAAAATTTTAGGAAGTGATAATACACACCCACGCAAACAATTTTTATCAAAGAATGCATGGTTGAAAACAAAACGCAAAGGAGCTGGTGCATTTGAAAAGTTGTTTGATGCAAACGTGAAAGCTCCATTCCTGTTGCGAGTTACTGTGCTGCGTTACTTGTCGCCAAGCTTTCGGGCGCTGCAGGGAAAGTTCGTGATATGCATGTGTGTTTCAGAATGTTCGCCTATCTTTTCTTTGTCATTGTAATGCGTGCATAGCCTTTGCCGGCCACTGTTTTGAGCACTTATTGTAATCACATTAAATTTGCTTTTATAACTTAACTTCATCGTTCTTTGTGTGTTTTTGCCTCATATAAGAACATAAACTTTGACGCCCTCTAGCGGTTTTGCATTTTGTTTTCGACCATGCATTCTTTGATAAAAATTGTTTTCTTGGGTTTGTACTATCACTTCCTAAAAGTTTGCCCATCTTTTTAGAATCACCCTGTATATACTGCTTTCTCATAGCTAGCTAGTGGCCACATCAAGAGCCTCTCTGTCAAAAATGGTGCGAAAATCTTAGTAAAATACTACAATCAAGAGGTTTCTACCACACATATTCTGGCATGTTTGGAAATCTATTCTTTCTTCAAGTCAACAGTTTTTTGAACTTGGTCTGACTTCTCTAAATTTTAAGGATTAAACGCAGTAACAACACAAAAAATAACTATTAAAACTGTACAGTTTACACGGTAATAAAAATCAATAAATAAAAAAGAAAGAGCAATATGTAATGCTTTAATTATTATTACCTATTTGTTGATATATTTTATTTGTTAACGCTTTAGCATTCTTAAGATGGGGCAAATAATCTTTAACAGTCACTTGCCAAATATGGGTATCAACTGGAATAGCATTATATTTATCAAGAGACATGAGACAAACGCAATCAGCAACCTAAGCAACAGAAACATATATTTAATATAATAGACAACCAATTAAAATCAAGATGAGAAAATATACAAGCAAAATAATGTATACTTTAGCTCCAACTCCAGGTAAAGCTTGCAATTCTTCGTGAGCTTTCTCATATGGCATATTTCTCAAACTTGTAAACCAATTATCAGGCTTTTTTTCATGTAAATATTTAGCAGTTTGTGCAATGTATTTAGCTCTGTAACCAAAACCCAGTTCTCTTAATTTGGCTTCCACATCATCTTGAGCTAAACGTCTAATTGCTGGAAAAGTATAAAATAATTTTCCCTCACATTCAGCAATTTTCTCTCCATAGTTTGAACATAACTTTTCCACCATACTTGTAATTCTAGAAAGAAAAAAAAGAAGATAGATTTAAAGATTAGAGATAATCAATCAAACAATATTTCAAATTTTAATAGAAATTATTTAAACGTTTTATTCTTATTAAAAATTGAATATACAGTATAAAGGTTTGATAATTTAAACCAGTGATTATCGAACCGTTATCTGTGAGCTACTAGTAGCTCACAGGGATATTTTCACTAGATCACATTAACACTCCGGTTAGTTAACCTTGATTAATCTTCTGAGCTGATAAATGCAAATAAAACTTGGTATTTATTTTTATTTGTAGTTCAGAAGCTCCATATGTTTGACAACTACTGTTTTAAACAAGCATATGCTCGAAGGCATGGGAAATTTTTAGACGGGGACTAAATTAAAATATACAGTTATAAAAGTTTTTTAAATTACCCTCAAAGAAGAAGAAAAAAAAGATAAAAATAATTTCTTTTGTGTGCCTAATATTGACAAAATGATTACTATTCTTTTATTTTGTAAGTTGTTTTCAACTAAGTTGGATATAAATTGACGATGGTTCATTTGAACTTACTACATTTATATGAAATTTTAGGAAGGAGGGACTAATATTCCAGTTATTGAAGACATACATATTGAGGGTGATATAACCCACTAGTCCACCAAAGATAAGCACGTAAGCAAATCTGAAAGCAAAAATAATGAAAATTTAATATTAAATTACAACAACTGATACCTAGAAAATAATAGAGTACATTTTGAATTTAATTTACCATGCTAGCAAATTTTATATTTTCCAAAATTTGGAAAAATAAAATTATTCAAAAGGTGTTTATGTGAATTTTGTTCTTATTTTGAAGAAACTTTTTCTGACAATTCCTTCAATTAAAATTTTCTGAATATGCCTATGCCACTGATTTCAACTGAACTGTTTTGCATATCTACATGATTTCTTTTTATACACAGCTAAATATAAAGCAAGTATCCATACCAATAGACAATGCAGAGTCTTTTCATTTTGTGACATAGCAAAGTTAAGAATTAAACGACCTTATAGCCAAAATGTAATTGTTTGCCTCAATCTTGTTCACCATCAAAAGATACACTTTCCAGATGCAGATGAGGACTCAGACTTACTTTTTCACACAGGAACAAGCAGAACTAGTTAGGTAATAGAACCAGTTAAATCCCCTTCCAAGCTACTAAAATAAAGACAAATGTTTACACAGAAAATAAAAAATTTAAGACTTTATAAATGTCAACCTATCACACGTTGTCTATTCTAAACTATTATCATTTTACAAACTATGATTAAATTTAAAGCAGGGATGGACTGGGATACCCTGAAGGGCAGTGGATAAAACAGTGGCAGTGGAGTTCACTGTGCGGTATGTATATATATCTATATGGTTATATTAAAAATAAAAGTACAATTAAAAGACAAAATTAAAAATTGTGATATATATAGTTCCTCTCGTGTCAATTTTTGAAAAATATGCTTTTTTTTTAAATCATGATTGTACATTATCTCACTTCCTGCATTTCTTAAAGCTTGTCTGATAGGAAACATAAAATCAGGGTTCCACTGTGTGTGTAATAAATGGAATATTTAATTTTTGAATACTAAAATTTTTTTAAGGTTGGATTGTGAGTTACTATTTAAAGCATTAATTTTTAAGTAAAAAAATAAAATTTCATTGTAAATAATTATTTATGATTTTTTTCTGAAAAATGATTTAGATTCAAAACACCATTAATATCAATAATTGTTTGTTTTTTCCAACACAAAGCAACCTTGCCAGAGGACATTAGTTAAGAGATATACTGGAACATGTTCTGTGGGGCCAATCCCTGATTTAAAGCACATCACTACATTTTAATTATTATTTATAAAATATATAATATGCATCATCATTGAAAGAGATTATTTCAAATTGGAAAAGCAAAGAGCTATTCACATACATGGTTATAAAGTGGTAAATTAACAAATATTTATTACTATTATTTTTTTCATTCAGAACAACAGTCAGACAAAGCAAGAAAAAATATAAAACATAAGTAAAACAGAAAGCTAGAATACTACACACAGAAATCTAAAGTGAATTTTATAAAATACCTGGGTATGTTGTTATTAGCTGAACATATGAAAGAAAAAAGATTCTCTACAGGAGGTTGGCGTAATATTCTGATACCGTTGTATCCTTCTGAGACCTTCTTAAAGTTTTCATCCGCTTTACTCCACACATTATAATAATCCATTAACTTGATATCTAGGTTAAAATAATCTTTTAAACTACTTTCAAAATAAGATGAGTCTTGTGAAGAATTGTACACTGGTTCCTTTTTTGTCTTTTTTCGCCTTTTTGATGGTAAACTATCACAGTCAATGTTTGATCCTTTGTTTAAAGATCTATGTACAAAATACAATAAATTACCATTTTCATCTTGTTTTAAAGAGAAAACTGAGTTTTCTATCACTCCAATCCAATGACCAATGTCTAATTTTGTCCACCTAGAAAACAAATAAAAATTAACAATTAATGTTTTCACAATTTCTAAAGAGAATACAAATTACGTTTTTTTTTCCCTTCCAATTACGAGTAAGGTAATTCAGTCAACATTCTTTAGCACAACCCTCCATTACAGTGACTATTCTATTATAACAACTGATGCATAAAGCGCTGTTTGCTATTCCATGCACCAAATGTTCCATTAGAACGTCTGTACTGAACCACTCATTCATTATTTAAATTTTTAAAGAAAAATAAGTTATTTGATTTGGAAAAAGTTTCAAATAAATTATTTAAACCATTATACCCTTTGATGTTACACTATGATGACCTCTCTAAATGAAAAACACCCTGAATTCTCTTTGAATGAAGGAAGAGTGACATAATCCCTTAAATTTCATAACCAGCATATTATTTTTAATACAATTTCCACCTATAAAGTAACTATTATTTTGAACGGTACTTATATATATGTAACATAAAAAGCTTCAATTAATCTTTTTATGTTAGTTTCTTTACTATAAAACAACTCCTACTTTATTACTAATTAATTATTCAAATCGAAATACCTTCTCACACTCTTAAAAGCCACATCCTGTTTCTAAATCTATTTTTGGCCCAACTATGCATAAATTTAAATAAAGATCTTTTTTCCCTTTTAAGCCGTGGGAATCACTCGAGCAAGTTCATTAACCAATAGTAATATCTAAGATTTCCCTAAATAGAGACATTTTCGGATTATTTGCAAGATTTTCCCTACCAGAAAGACTGATCCTGAATGGAGTTAACATCACTTTTCGCTGGTCTTCCATAAGAACATGATCTAAATAAAATACATCTGATTTCATTAAAATCCTGTGTCTGTTTCCCTGCTCGGTCCGACTGCATCATTTTACAAGCCGAGCAGGATTATAAGAACTGATGAAACGGGCGCAGGATAATATTAAATGCTTCTTCAAAACATAAAAAAAAAAATAAAAAAGTAACTAAAAGAACACACTTCTATTATGTTGGAAGATTTGAGCCTATTAACGAACGGATCGAAGACTTCACAACGAAATGCCATAAGTTCAAACTAGAAGAGAATGCTTAGCAGTTTATTTCCAATGATGCGAAATTAATTGGATTTGGAAGAACCTTGACCGTGGTTGGCGACACTTTCCCCTTCTACCCTGAAATCGAAAGCATAGTCTGCTACAAATTCTCTATCACTTTCGGCGTTAGTCTGTGACTCATCTTAACGAAGAAAATTGGCTTATTCCCCTTTTAACTAACTGTCGTGTTTACTCTTGGAATGGAGCGACTATGGAGAAAACATTAAGAAAGAAAGAAAAAAGATGTTTCGCTTGTTTCACCTTTTCGAGAATTCCATGCCTCTCCTGCTCGGTACGACTGCATCATTTTACATATATATTATTAGATATAACAAAAAATGCATCATAACCTGATTTTTCCGCTAGTTAACAAATATTTATTGAAGTAAAGCATTACTTCGTTAAAGTTAGTCAAGTATTTTTTTGGCTATGAGTCAGTACTTGAGTCATGAGTCAGTTTTGTGCACTCTCGATATAACAAACTCACATTATAACATCCGTTTTTGCCTGGGCCATGAGGGTCATTATATTGAGTACAGATGGTTATAAATTCTAAATAAAAGAGATAATTTCCATTTTGGTTTGTACCAATTCATATAATCAAGATGGCAGTTTTCTGAATTCATAAAAGTTCCAAAGTTTAGGCGACAACTAGGAAAAGACATGAGAAATGGAGAAAAAAATTCATAAAAAAGGATAAACTTGAAGGGTAGAACTTATGGACACCAATGAGCAAAGTACTGAATTTTTTTTACTTTTTGTTAGAGCAAAACCCTTTCGATGCATTGGCAATGCTAGTAGGAACAAATAGGAACTGCTATGGAAATATTTCCGTTAAAGGATTTTTGTACCAGTGGTAGTGGCTTGCCTAGAGGTGGCTACAAGCTACATTGCATGAGTTGGTTTCCTCCTGTATAAATTAGTTTAAGTTTTGCAAGTGTAACTACTTTGTTGTAACTAAAACTTGGCAAACTTTTTTGGTGCCGGTACAGATACGGAATCTACCTTATATGAAAAGTTTGTAGATCCTAAAGCAATCAAAGTGAAACATAAGACTGATTTTTAAAAATTCTAACTTTGATAATATAGATTATTACAGATGACAGACTGAATGTAAACAATAACAAGCTTCCTAAAACCGGAAGAAATACAGAAAATTTTCGGTGTATTTCTTCGTTTGTTTACAAGGCAATGTGTGAAGAGGTTTAAAATTCTAAGAAGTTTTATTATTGTGGTTTGTGCTTGTATTTATGAGTCATTTTACCATTTATAAGATTTTCTGTAATTTATAAATTCTAAAAACTCGTGAGCCTTAGACAAACTTAAGAAAATTAATATCACAACATAAATAAATGGTAATGTTTGACATGTTTTGAGTGTTAGGTATTCCTTGTTTGGCTATTAGGGTAAAATATCGCTGTTGGCTATTTTTTTGGATAGCATCATAGCATACTTGTAGAATTGCCCAAATTCATTTGTTGTTTGCTGAGTGGAAATATAAATTGAAAGAATGTGTTACATTGTAAATGCTAAAAATATAATAATATTGGATGACATTGACATGCTTTTTCAGGAGTAGGCGTAAAAACTATTCGGAAGTCGTAACCCGGAAGTCTTATGACGAATTTGAACCCCTAGAGCCATCTGTGCTTAGCTTTACATAAACAACCATCCATAAAAGAAAAAAGTAATGTTTAATCACTGTTAAAATGCTTAATCACTCATGTTGACAGTTCAAAATTCACTCATGTTGAAAATTGGAGATCATCAGGAAAAAATAAAAAAATTAAGGTAGAAGCAAGAAAAACAATTTAAAAATGTATATATTTTAAACATTGATTATTTTGACGTAGATTACGATAAGGAAATCTTCCCTACAAAAGCGTGAGAGTCAATCCCTCGGCAGAGGATCAAAACAGTGATAGCATGTCTTCGGATTATCCTGAGAGATGTTTCCCAGTCCGGCGCCAATAGCCCATTGCACAGCTCTAAAGTAACTTAAATAAAGTTTCCACCTAACTTCCAAAATCAGGGGTTCCAACTTATGAATTATTGAAAGGAACAGGACCCTTAAAAAGGATGGGGGTTGAATTCTCCCTTTGCGTACGTTACTGTATCTGAAACACCCATGATCGGTTATCTTTTGTAAGATGAAGGAAAAGAATAAGAAACAATTAAAACACTTTATTTTAAAGTTTTTTAGTATTTTTTACTTGTTTTCTCACCTAAATGATTGGCCCCCACCAAGAGTAATATCCAGATTTAATTCCATAAAGTTGCAGGATAATTTACGCCACATATTTTACTATATAATGATAACTATATTTTTTGTTATATTTCACAACTTTCGCATAAACCAAGTTTTTCTTTCCTTCAAATAAATTAGGAAAATCACTTCAACTACAAAATGATTATCTAGAAAATATACACAACAATGTTTTAATGAATAAAATATTTCTTTTTCATGTTAACATGATTTAATTATGAAATGATAAAAGTTAAAAAATTCAAGTAATATTTGAAGGCAAAATTTGCCGGCTTTCGCTACACTTGTTTACAAATAGATCCATTCAAAAGTAATCTGAGTAATCGCAATGAACCGGTTGGAGTTAGTGAAATTATAAGTTCTGCTCAATTTTGTAAATTATACGAACTATTTAAGGGTTAAAACTGCATTCAGTGTAAACGGTTCAAACTTGTCTTTTTGAAAGTTGTAGTTAGTGCTTTTACTACCTTGAAATTATCTGTATTTTCATGATTTTCATCAAAGACAAATGCATTAGTTTTGGCCGAAGATTTATTATTATTCTTTTTTTGTTTCTTTCCTTTGATCAAGGAGTTTATTGACAAAGAAAAATTATCTAGGTCATTCATGATCAGCATAGAACTTCTCGGCATAATATCTAGGTCGATTTTTGTTTATTTATTTTTCTCCTACTTGTCACCATGGAAACTGCTCCAATAAGGCAAAAGGTACTATTTTTATAAAAAAATTATCAAATGGCAGGTTTCTAACTGTAGTAATCTGTCATTTTTTTTAAATTTTACATTCTTCGGGAAAGTTTTGTTATGCGAAGCTCAAGATATTTACCAGTGTTGCTATTACAAAATGCACTTTTATTTATTGATATCCTTTTGAATGCTTTCGGTGATTTCGGTAGATCTGAATTTGTTATTTTACTTGTGCTATCAGTTGTTCAAGACATAGGAATCATATGCAATGTCATAATTTTATTTTTGATGTTTGCTAACACATACGTATTTCGTGCTGGGTTGTTAGGAATACTGATTTCTAGATATCGTTTTACATTAATTACATGTTTCGTTTACCTGGCAATAACAATAGCTTGGCATTTTTGGAACCTTAAACTCATTTGGGATAATCCATATGCGTATAACTGGACTACATATTTGCTTGTTTTGTTTATATTACAAAAAAGTTGTGCAGTATTTTATTACTACTTTTATAAAAGAACTTCTCTGCTAATTGTTGACCCATGTTTTTATGACGACAGTGAGTGGCTAAAATTGAAAATTTCTAAAGAACAAAGAGCATGTAAGTTTATTACATCTTTAACTTAGAAGCAATGATTCTTATTGTTCCTACACACCTTTAATTTAATATAGTCAGAATTTCACTAGGTTCATTTAAAATTACTGAACTCTAGCGAAAACATGTAAATATTTCAGTAAAAAAATAGATTTCCTGATATTTTAATTTTTTTATTATCACACTTGAGATTTAGTTTATTTTGACAAGCAACAGAAATGTATTATATTTAATATTTTTTAATCTTATTTTAGATTGCTAATATTTGTTTTGGTAAAAATTTTGCCAACTACAAAGAAAGATGAAATTATATAGTGGTATAATTGATATAAAAGACTGCATATAATGAAATTATGGAATATGAATGCATATTGTTGATATTGATTGTTCAGGATATGGTTATTTGTACATAATTATTAATTAAATTCTATGATTATTTCTATATGTTCATTAAAAACTTAAATTATATAAGTGGGGTGCTTATTAAACAAATTTTAAATTTTTTCTTTCTTTCTTCAATTTAAAAGCAAAAAGTATAATGAATAATTGAGAGATTGAAAAATACAAATGCATATACCATGCTTTACAGGTATGTGTGCCTTTCTTTTCATGAATATATAAAATGCTTCTAAAATTTTCATTCATTAACTTGAAAGGAAATTATGTGTTTATTTATAATTTAAAACTAAATCACATTACATATTATGCTTGACATTTTACAAAGAATTGTTTCAGTAACTTCAATTTTATGCAATTCTTTAAACATTTAGAATGCAGGAGAGCTGACATCTAGGTTTAAAATAAACTAACTATCTACAATTACCTTAAAAATATCCTGGTACGGCCATCTAGTATATAAAATGAGAAATGAAATGTTTTCCGGGCAAAAGAAATGAATGAGTTTTATTCTTATTGGCGCGTTATTACTGAACTCTACAGCCCGGAAATTTCGCGGGAGCGAGTAATATAGGGCAAAACCTTCCCCGTCATTTTCACGGGAGCGAGAAGGAAGGGGTTAAAAAATCTGGGATTTAGTGAATCCTGTTTCTCATTGAAAAAAAAGAGCTTCTACCTTTTCTTACCCTTGGGTTGGAATAAACTTATTTTTTCTGGGGTGGTTTTTCCCACTCTGGTAGAAACTTGTCATCTCTGAAAATATTAAATTATTGTGTGATGTGACTTATAAAATATTCTTTAAAGGCTACAGCATTTTTATTATTTGAAAATGCATAATATGTGTAAAAAAATTAATACATGATAGTTGGTTTTCATCGTAAATTAGATTGAAGCTATCTTCTGTATGCTTTAAAAGGAAACAACTTGAAATCAAACACAGTATTCATAACATATATATATGTGTACATGACACATTATGGTGTCAAATTTTTATTTAACAAGGTATAAATTAAGTGTAAATTCTCTATATTTAAACAAAAATGCTCCCAATTAATTTGAATAAGTCAATAGTTATATTTCACATATTTAAATTTTCTGTTAAGATTTATTTAAAACATTATTTCCATTTAAAGTTTTATGCTTTAAAATGTAAATTGATTTGTGATCTATTTGAATTGAATATTGATGTTAAGACAAACTCAATTTTTAATGTTTATTATTAGCATTTTATTTTGCTGTTTCAACAATTAAATTATTAAAAAAAATATTTATAGACGATGTCTATCGATTTATGACTATTATATTTAAGTTTTTGCCGTCAAGAGTTAAAAAATATATATATTTAACAATATGCTTACATGCTTCAAAATTTTTGAAACCAAATTGGTATAAATATTTAAAATTACTTAAATTTGTGTTCAAAAAAGAAGTTATAAGTGGGTAATATTTTGTGTGAATAATTTTTTTTCCAGATTGAATTTATGTGTGTTAGATTTTAAAAATTATTTTTCTCATATTATTCAAAGTTATAAATTTTAATGCAGAACACACGTGTGCCTTTTAATTATGTTTTTATTTCATTTCAGGAACTTGAAACAATTCTACATGAACTAAATACAATCAAACCAAATGCTGTAAGTAAAAAAAAAAAAAAAAACAGTTATTCAGTTTCTTTATTTAATTGACCTTCTGCTAAAACTTTCCTTAATAACATTATTGTTTCACAGCTATTATATTGCATAAGAATTAGACTTTTATAGATGTGTTACAGTAAAAATCTAAAAGATTTATTAAATTACACATCATTAATCTACATTAAATCAATAATAAATTATTTGTAATTGCTTATAAAACATTTTAGAAAGATTTTATGAAATATCAGTTTGAAATCAGATAATTTTATGTACACCAAATAAAAAATTTTTTCCTTAAAAAAATATTTTTACTGTTATTAAAATGTAATTAAGAAATGCTGCAGATATTCCAAATATTTTTATATATATGTTTTGATTAAAATTCTATTGAAGCTAACCAATATGTTTGTTAAAAAATAATTCTAATATTTATCTTTCACCCCTGAATTATTGAGCCAAAATAATGTCTCTAGCTTTGTGATGTGAAAGAGTTTTTGCTAATACTTTAGTTACACAATAGTGATTTTAAATATTAGCACATTGAATATGCTTAGTCAAATTCTAACTTTAAAAAACAATGTTTTATTTTTGCAACAAACTTTTTTTTAAAATTTTATTCCAGAAAATTATATGTTTCTCTCAAGGTGAAAACATTTTAATTTTTAAGAATAAATTTACTTTTTTTTTCAGAAGTAAAAGTCAATGTTCCTTAAACAAAACAAAAAACAACTTCAAATATGGTTTTGTGTGCAAATGTTGATCCCTAAATTCAAGCTTTTTTATGTATTGATGTAATAATAGAAACATATTTTCAGTGCGATGTTAATTGAAGACTATGAGTGGAATGGATTACTATTACTGTATGTACTATTTTACACAGTATGAAAGTGTGATTGTGATGCTCAAACAAGACAGGGAAGAAAGAATGAAATGTGTTATACTGAATTTAAGTCCCTTATATGTTTATGTGACTGTTAAGCCCACATAAATTGAGCAATGCAACTTGAAACATTATTTTTCATGATCACTCATCATTTCCATATTTTATTTTTTATTGCTTTGTGAAAAAATATTTTTAACTAATAAAATTGCTCTGTATAATCTTTGATAAGATTTAAATTGCATTAGGTTGTTATTATCAATATTTATTTATACTCTTGGTATTAAATTTTTGAGAATGTTAACGAAATTTAACTAGCATTGAATTTTTTTTTTTATGAAATGAATGAAGTGCTTTAAATAAAGTTTATTTTAAAAGTAATTCAAAATGAACTTTTGAAATAAAATGTTGATTACTATTGAAATCACGCATGGATATGGGCTTCTATACTATTTTAGTTCTGTACTAATCACAAATATTATTATGCACCAGTTGTACTTAAAAATTTGTAACTGGAACCTACATTCTTTTAACAATAGAATGAATGAGCAGACTCCTAAAAAATATTCCTGGACACTGGTGTATAGAACTTTTTAAGTTTTTTTACTGTTCAGTATCTAATAATGAATTATTGTTTTCCATAAAATATTTTTTATGAATTTTATGCTACAATATTAGCGTATTGATTTAATTTTTATTTTATTTATCTAAATCTAGCAAATTCATTTTATTAAGATCATGTTGAATCTGATTTTATATTTTATAACATATCCTATTTTTATTATTAAAAATATGGTACTTTATAAAAATGTTTGCCATTATATAAAAATTGCCTTATTTTAAAAATTTATTTCATTTTCAGAAAGTTTATAGACAACTTCCCAATTCAAATATATTCTTCAGAGCTAAAGTAGACACAATAAAATCAGAAACCCATAGTAAGTATATTTGAATATTTTTTATTATCAAAACTGAATACACTGATGTAAGAAATTAAGAGAATAACTAATATAACTGGACTGATTTTAACGAGATTTGATATGTACATACATTGATAAAACACGAAACAAAGAACCATGCAACAATTGTGAAACACGCTCATGATCGTGCATAACACTCATTGGAATCGAAAAGTTTGAAACAGCGGTTGGAGAATAAACAACAACAAAAAAAAGGGTTAATAGGGGGTAGGGTCACTTCTTACAGATATATAGGCCTTGTAGCATGATTTCATACTTGAAATAAGGCAGTTTATCATTTCCTGTGGCAATTTCATACCTTCCGACTCCAACGAGTGTTACACACGATCATGCGTGTGTATTATAATTGTTAAATGGTTATTTGTTTTGCATTGTATCAATGTATGTACATATCAAATTTCATTAAAATCGGTGCAGTAGTTCTAGAGATAATCTACCAAGTCAGCAAATTCTCTTAATTTCTTGCACCAGTGTATTTAATTTATACACATATCAATTCCATTCATTCTTTTAACTCATTTCTTATATTAGTTATTATATAAGACGCATGATAAGTTTTATTTATTTCTGTGTACTCTTTCCAATAGATGAGTTGGATAAACTACTCAAGAAAGAAGACAAATGATACTTTCATAACAATTTTATGATGTATATATTTTTGCATTGTTACAAATAAAGACATCATCTTTTTATAAAATTGTTTTATTTTTCACGTTTCAAGTGTGTTTCATATTTTAAAATACTATGTCCAAATATTTTTGACTGTTTAACAAGTACTACATTTAGTATAATACCCACTAATAACATTAGGCATGTGTCAAATAAATTTGAAATTAATTTTGAAATTTTTATGTTTTGCATTGAATCTTTCATGTTTTGTCCATGTTGAATATTATATGTTTTGCATTGAATATTCAGTCATTTAAATTTTGTTTAATTATTAGAACCCAGATTTTTATGAGATAAAAATTCATATAAATGCTTTTTAAAAATTCAAAAATGACTTTAATGAAAAAATATTATATTATTTAAGTAAAAATATTTAACAAAAACAATCTTTACCTCTTGAAAATTATTTTCATTTGCGTCAAAATATAAAATAATGCAACACATGTTCTATGTTCATTCTATGTTTGAAATAAATGGTATATGCTAAAATAACAATATATATATTTATATATCAACTCCTGCACATTTCAAAAAATATAAATATGCAAAAATATACTAAATACAACATTTAAAAAAAAAATGCTGTTAAGGCAAAAAAAAATTTCTAAAAATATAAATTTTATTACAATCCAAGCCATAGTTATTATATGTATATAGAGGAAAGTGGGGTAATACCGGCTATGTAAGATTCGAAGGCCAAGTAGGCTAAACTATTCAACCTAAAAACGATCAGATTCGATCAAGATATTCATTATTTAGTTACGTACAATTTATCATTCCCAAAAAGTCATTTTCTAGAAAAGTCATATCACTCGGTTATTCTATTTTATAGGAAAATTTAAGAAAATCTTGCATGCAATTTACTTGTATTGTTGTCAAGGGGGAGGGGGGAACTGCAAACCGTTAGACTAAAATTCCATACAAAAAATATAGTTCTTATTTTTTAAAATGAACATTTCAAATAAAACTATTTTTTATAAAAAGTATTCGAAATTTCTAAAAATATGAAAATAACTCTTTTTGTGCTTTAAAGAAGGGACTCGTAAAAACTTTGTTCAGCTTTGGATGTAATTGGAAAGCTTGGACTGCAGCTGTCATGCGCTCAGTATAGACACACATTAGGAGAGCCACAAATCCCGAGAGGAGAGATTATTGAAACTAAACAGTGGTACGATTGGACAAAATTCTTATTATTTGTTAGGGTATAAATCTTTAGTAAATGTATTATAAGATAGACTTGAAATCATTTTTATAACTCTAACGACCAATATAAAAGGATACCGTCATATAGGGCAACTTTGTGCAGGATTTCGCAGTTTTTGAACTTTGACATGTAAAAAAACTATGTTAATTCAAACTTTAGTAAAATCTATCGATATTATATTCATAACTGGACTCAGAAGATGGCTGAGATGGCTAGATTTAGTTGAGACTGATTTCCTTACTCTAAAGGAGAAAAACTGGCGAACAAGTGTCAAAAGTAGAGAGAAGTGGATTCGAATTCAAAGGAAGGCACTGGCCCACCCTGGGCTGTCTAGCCAAATATGATGATGATGGACTCAGAAGAGTGAATTTGATCAATATTGGCATTATTTGTATGTAATATTTACAAATAATAAGTCAAAATATACCTTGACATGACACAAAGTAGCCCCCATGAGGGGCTACTTTGTGCAGCGATAGGAATTCAGTTTAATAATCATGTTTTTAGTAAAATATTGATATAAAATTGTTAAAAAAGTTAATTGTTGACATTTTTAATAACAAAAACATCAAGATATGTAAAGATATTAGTTTGAAAATAATTTTCAGCTTTAAAAAACCATTTTTTATGAAGAATTTTTTCTTAAAAAAGAATGTTTATTTCAAAACATTTGAGTTTAATCAAAAGGAAACCATATGCATTTTTGAACATTGAAATGGATGAAATTTCAAAAATAATAATTATTACATCTTCATTAACATTTATAATATTGATAAATTTGAACATAACATGCTTGAATGAACATGACAGAAATTGCTCTTCTGTTTCTGTCTAAATCACCTGATGTCCTATAAAATATATTTTTGTGTGTTAAATGGTTTGATTAATTCATTAGAAAAATCTTTGTAGAAGAAAAATAATAGTTTACCAGCATGTTTCACGTGTTTCTTGTGAATTTTATTAGAGATAGTATTTATGTGGATTTTGTACTTCTGAGAAGCTTCTGCAATCGACATACCACCAGCTTGCAAACATTGTTGCAGATTTTCTAAAGTGTAATCACGGTAGTTTCTCGTTCCAGGTATTTTTTTTATAACGTCTGACAATTTTTTTGTCGAAAAAAAAAATGAATGAAACTTTGCACAAAGTAGCCCCACAGTGCATTTCTTTTCATTTTCCGTCTATTTGTTATTAATTTTAAAATTTTTTTAACGCTAACATGATATAATTGTTTATTAATATATATTAAAAAAAATTTTACTTACAACAATTGTTTTATCAACGTCTTTGCATTTCACAGCTAAAGTTTCCCCACACACTTTTCGACGTCCGACGTTCTCGGAAAGTTGTTGACATCTCTGAGATTGTTTTAAAATTCGAAAAAATGTTTGTAGTAATAGAAGAGACTTCTTTCTTCAAATTCCACACATTGAAAAAAACATAATTCTGAATAGCAGCACTTGAAAAGTGCCAAATTCGAATTTGCACAAAGTAGCCCCACATGACGGTAGCTTAAAAACAAGAGAACATTAGAGAATTGGAATAGTAAAACAAACTTATCAACAATGCACTTACCGGTAGATCCTTCTTCTTTACTAGTAAAGTGTAATGCAGAGTTTGAAAACAGAATTTCCACACAATCGATGTACTTGAGGGATCTACTAATGTACCAGTTAAGAAGAACCAGCATGTTATGAAATGGAAAGTAACAAAAAATTTTTGCTTTCATGCTGAGTTTTGCTAAATTATTTGATACCTAGCATGATTTTAGAGGTGCAGGGCAACTAGGATATGTAGATCCCTATATATGTGTATACAAAGAGCTTGTGGCCCTATAATAATAACATACATTTTAAAATTGCTCAGAAGTACCCTTATTTCAAACAGGCAAGTCTGATTTCCTGTGTTATCTTACGTTGAAAAATGTTTTAAAAATTTGTTAAGTATGTATTTAGAAAAAATACAAAGGAACAGTTTAATGTAAAAATGTCACTTTAAAAAAATTGCAGCTTATTACTACATAGTTCCAAATCTGTGCTAATCACATTAGTGTTCAATTAAATATAGCTTCTTTTAAAACTGCATTCTATCCATAGTTTATTTTTTCTATGCATTTTTATCAACAAAAAAAAAAAAAATACTGCAGCAAAACATAGATATTTTTTAAATAGCACAGCAAAAGACAATAAAAGTATTTTATTTATATAAACATAAGTAATTTTACAATGCACATTAACTTTAGAATGTCAACTAATTTTGATTTGCAATGAAACTAGTATTACATTGCTGAACTATAATAGATTTTTGCTTTATTATTCAGTTAAAGGCTTAAATATTCAAAGTTAAATGGACAAATAAAATTTATGCACATTAATATTTCTTCTTTAATTTAGTTTCAATAATGTTCAGACGATTATTAAAACTAAATATTCTTAACACTTGATATTTAACCTGAAGAGCACAGAAACAAAAATCGTATTGCAAATAAAAACAGCTTATTTCAACAAAATGCAATTAATAAAAAAATTGCTAATATATACAATCAAAGAAATAAAAGTTAAAAAATTATGAAACTTAAACAAAAAATTTTTAATAGGAACCAAAAAGTTTGATAGAACAAAATTAAAAACTTAAACAAGCATTTTAATAATATTTTTTAAATAAATGTCTTCGTTTTCAACAAATCACAGTTATATTTTGTACATATTGATTAAATATAGTCCAGTGGTTCCCAACTTAAATCTCGAATCACATTAATTTTACCCCTAAACTTTTTACAAATATTCTCACCTTTTGATGATAATATCTAATTGAAAAATATAACTTTGCTTCTTTTTCTTTTAAATAAATAAGGTAACATAATTTTATTTTAGAAAGCGAATGGGGGGGGGGAAGCCTCTTAACTGTTTTTTTGGTTTGAATGTTTATGTTTACCTCATAAGTATGCTGATCTCTGAAGTAAGTAAAGAGGTTCAATAATTTTTATTACGTAACAAGCTCTGCTTTGTATATGTTTGAGAAAAGAAAAACCCTTTTGCACATTTCAGAACCGTTTTTTGTTTATATTCAGAGCAAAGATGGATTTTTTATGAATAAATAATTACATTTCGGCTTTAACCTTCATCACACAATGAAAATTTGACTAGTTGTCCATTGAATGTAAATTTTTTTGCTATAAGAGCTGAAGATAGCGATACATTTCCAATAATGAATCATTTTATAGAAGCTGATTATACAGTCTAGTAAATTAACTTAAGGGAGGGGGGGGAAAGCTCATTGTGGTTTCTCAATAGTGAGACCTTTGTTTATCTGGAGAAAAAAAAAAGCCAACTATTTAGAGGGTTTCAGGGATTAAGATGTCATTAGAGCATCAAAATGATTAAGAAATAATCAATATTAGAAAAATAGACTTAAAAATTAAAATAGATTAAAAAGGCATTATGCATTAGTTGCCAATGTTAACGTAATTTTTGGTATTAATATAATAATAAATATAAAACTAGATGATTTTTGTCTGTAAACTTCAGATAATATTATTACCCTCTGTGCTTTTCTGATTTTGCATCAAAATATATAACAAATATATATATTTTTTGGTTAAAAAGACTTTCTATGATTCAAAGTTGGTGATGAAAGAACTATTAAAATGATGAATATAACAATGATAGGAATTAATTTTTTTAATAATGATTTGCTTAATAGACAACATGGAACTTTTAAACAATCCATTAGTTGAGAACCACTGATATGGTCGATAAGCCAAATATTTTTTAATCTAGGGAGACCTTGGCATAGACTGATGGCAGTCGTGTGACTGCCTGCTCAATACAGTTTAGAAACATAAAAAAAAGTTACAATAACTTTTAACATTTGTAAAGTATGTACTTTAAAAAAATTACATAATCCTATAATAATATATGCACTTAAAAAAATGCTAAATTATAAACAAACAACTTTCCATGAAATTATATTTCGATAATTATTTTCAAAAATAATTCGTGCAAACATAAAAACAATGTCTTGGAGCTTTAAACTTCTGATATTTTTTCCATACAACTACAAACTGTAACTCCCTTGTTAAAGAAAAAAAAAGTTAATAATTTTAATAGAATGACCAAATATGTTTAATAATACAATTATAAATGTGTATAAAAATTCAAATTTTTAGTATTTTAGACAAATTAACAGTTTAAAAAAAGGAAAAATGCCAAACAAAAATTTAATGTTTTCACAAAAATAAATTATCACAAATAATATTTTAATTGAAGAGCTTAGTGAAGGTGGAAAAATAAACTTTATACAAACAAAAGAACATAAATATGGTATTTTCCAGTTGCCAAAATAAATTATTAAAATTACATTTGAAAATAGCCTCTGCAAAATGGAAAATTTTAAGTTTCAGTATATGATAAAAGTCTATACTCCCAAATTCAATAACCACAGGCATCATAATGCTTGCTGACTGCATTAAAAGATTCTTGATCCATGAAAAAAAAATTCAGTTGTTAATAAATTTCAGTTTTCTAGGTAAAAGTATAAATTCCCCTGAAAAAATAAACAAATGGTGCCTGCTATGTGATAGGTATTCTAGAATGTGCTCTTAGTACAAGAAGGTAGGGGACTTCTGAAGCAATGTGTTCTTCCACTAAGCTCTCCAATAGTCATCTGCGGTTTATTCAGAACATTACAATACCTATGTTAGGTCAGCAACAAATAATTAAATTAAAGCACTTTTTTATCATTAATGTCCAAAAAAGACATTTGGGTTTGTTTTGTTTTCAAATCTGTTCACATTTGTCAAAACATATATACATTATACTTTTTATAAAATTAACTTTAGGTTCAATGAAATAAATTTACAGACAATGCTAACCTTAATTTGCATCTTTTAAAATAAAATTATTCCCAATAGTTTTACATTGTTATTAAAAAAAGCAATAAATTAAATATTATTTCTTTATGGTAGCAACTTTGATGTATAAAAGGGCAAAATTTTCAATAATAAAAACTTCGACAATGATAATTCAATAATAGTACTTCTGATAATATACGACTATATTAATAAAAATAAATATACTATTATCATGCAGTTTGGTATAGGAATATCACAGAAATGAAAATATTAAAAAAATAAACATAATACAACAATCTTAACAACTTCAAATCTACATGAAACATTTGACTAGTGAATTAAGTATTCATAGAAAAAATATACTAGAGAAAATAAGTTCATACAGCCATAATAACAATTTAAATAAAATAACTATGGACAGTACAGCAGAAAATATGGGAGATATAGCATAGGGAAGGGGCTACAGCCTACCCCTACAGAATTTACAATAAAATCTCACATATAGAGAAGCAGTACACCCTATGGATTTTTTGAAAAAGTTATTTTTCTTTTTTTTTTTTTCAATTTTGTAGTTTTTATTAAAAGTATTGTAAAATTTGTTCATTTCTATAATTTTTTATGTACTTATGTACAAGTATTTTAGTTTGTCAATTATAATTTTTTGTCAATTTAACAGTCTTTCTTTAATGGTATTGGAAAATTTGTTAATTTTTGCAATTTTTACTGTGCTGCTGTACAAGTTCTTTTTGGTTCTCCTAAAAATAATTAAAAAGTATAAGATCTGGGTGTTATATAATTTTCTGTTGCTACTTCTCTGCTATATGAGTATTTTACATCAATTACATCAGCTATCCACCAAAGATCCTTGTTCTCAATTGCCCTTTTCTATCAAAAGTAACAGTATAAGTCCAAAAAGAACCATTTAACTGTAATAAAAAACAGTATTGTAACTGTTTTTTATCAGAACAAAACTCTGATATAAAATTAAGTTAAATTAGAAGAAAACATTTTAAAGTGATTTTAATTTAAAGAATATTAAACTGAATATGATTAGAAACAAAAGTGTCTATAAAATTACAACATTCAATTTAAAGAATATAAAATTGGAATTTTTACCATTTTTTTCAATATAAAATTTGTGCACAACAGAATGGCAAGAACTATTAGTTTATGAGACAAACTTTTACACTTCCAAACAAGTTTTTTATAAAATAGATCATGATTAAGAAAAAACTTTTGCAATTTAGCAAACATGAAATGCTTTAAAAAACTGTTTATCTTTGCATCTTTTAAAATTTATTATTCTTTGACAATTTTGTTACATTTGTCACAAAAAAAAATTATTATTGAGTAACAGAATGAACATAAATACACAGTATTCCTATTTTAAGCTCGATTTACTTACAGGCAAAATTAATACGGATTCAAAATGGAAAGTAGAAATCCATTCATTCAATGAAAAATAATAAGTGATATACTATAATTTTATATCAATTATTGAGGTGACATAAGTTTTCATTAAATTTGAACAATAAATTTCTTTAATATTCAATTATGGACATTGTTATCCATGGAAAGGATTTAGTGTGAAGAAATGTTGAAAAAATATAACGTGAAAAAAAACAAAGATAAAAAAAGAACACCTTACTTTTGATGTATTGTATGGATAGTCACCTAAGATATAATCTTAATTGTTTGAGAAGCTAAACTTAAACAGCTTAAAATATCATCTGAGGAAAATTAATTATCATATTTATGATTACTGCTCTCAAATCATTAACAGTGTATCCTAGTATGTGACAATCTAATTATTAGATTAAAAGTTATTAAAGTGTTATGCTTTTTATAATGCACACTGTAGATACACAATAAAGAAAAAAAATTGCAACACTGTATCAAAGAAATTATAGTTTGACTAATGAAAAAGCTTTTATATTAATTAAAATTGTTTCTTCTGCATTTTAAAAATATATTTTATGTAGATATAGATTTAAAATAATAATATAACAGCTCAAAAACAAATTTTTTGACTAACTCCATGAGATACTCAAAAAAAGAAATCAATTCCATTATTAAAAGTCATTATAAATTTAAATTCAAAATAAGTCATAAGTCAGAAAAAACAATCACACCCAAAACACAACACTACTTAGCAAATGAGTAAATATTCTAGCCTGCAGTTTCTTTTTTAAAGTATTATTTTGATCACATGGCTTAAAACATCAGAAAAATAATTACCCCTATTCAAAATTCATTAGAATTATTAACTTGTTTAATAACCTAAGAAGATTAAGTTAGATACTTTAATCACAGATTGTTATATTGAATAGAATCCTGATAATCTGAAATAGCTGGGCATGAAACCAACAGGAATTACTAAAAACTCAGATTGACCAGATTTTATATTATGAAATAATACAAATAAAAATGACTATTTTTCAAAAAGGCAAATTAAAATTAAAGTATAATTACTAAATTCTTTTTTTAAAGAGACGCTGACTTTAATAGTAAAAGAATCAATAAAACATAAGGACCTAAAGCCTCACTTTCAAAGTGTCAGTGATATTTCAAAAATAATTGATGCATTTAACAGATTTTTTTTTAAAAATAATGCTTATTTCTTAAGATCCTATAAGTGAATTACGATCAATACATATTTTTTTGTTCACCAGTTATTTCAAAACAATATAAATTCTTTCATGTAAATTTTCATTGTCTTAGTGTGATATACACAGAGGCATAGGAAATAGTCATTTATTAGATAACATATAATGACTTGCATGATTTATATTCAAAATAGATGTTGCCAGAGACACTGATATTTTGTGCTCAGGTGCTCTTGGCAATTTTAATTCACAATTTTGATGACAGTTTTTCTCACAAACATCTTGAGAATTGTCTTCTTCTGCATGCATTTGCATATGTTCATTTAGAAGGCTTTTAAGAGAAAAACATTTATTACAAATATTGCAAGCATATTTAGCTTTACTGTGGGATAAAAAGTGTGTTTTCAGCCTACTTTTAACAACAAAACATTTACCACATACATCACAATTATGTGGTCTACTGTTTGAATGTAATAGAGTGTGAGTTTTCAAATGGGATTTTTGTCTAAACGATTTACTGCATATAACACAATTATAGGGTCTTTCTCCTGTATGAATCATCATATGTCTTTTTAAAAAATATTTCTGTTTAAAAGATTTTTGGCATAAATTACATGCGAAAGGACAGTCATTTGTATGTGTTAAAAGATGCATTTTTAAATTACTTTGTTGCACAAATCGTTTTGAACATAGGGTACAAATATATGGTCTTTCTCCAGTATGCGTCAGCATATGCCTCTTTAAATTACCTTTTAAAGTAAATGTTTTCTTACAGACGTCACAAATGTGTGGACGTTCTTTTAAAAGAAAAGACTTCTTTTTATCTTTTGAAGTTTGAAACACAAAACCCGCAGTAGTAAACATATTACAGAGAAATGGCTGATCTATCTGCTCAGAGTTTGAGGAGCTGTTGTCTTCATCAGCCATGATTTAATTTTGTAAAATTCACACCTTTATACGTAGCATCTTAGTATTACTTAGCACATTAAGATATAGGAAATGCTGAAAGTCATTCTTAGCATTCTTCAACACCTGCAAACATAAAAATATATCACTAAATGAACTAAATCAATAAATGTGCTATGATTATGCAAAATCGGAAATTTTGGTGAAAGTTTGAAATTTTTTTCAATTGCAAAAATGTATTAAATATGATTTTGATATTGACTTTTTTGATTTAACAATTCAGAATATTCGAAATACCTTTCAAAATTGCAAAATAAGAAATTTTTTTTAATTGTTAGAAAAGTGAGAAAGAAAATATTAACAAACAGTAAAATATACTAAGACAAATGCTTTTTTTCTATTGCACGAAGATAAAGGAAATGTTTGCTATTTTTCTATTCGTGTTTAATTTAACAAGGAAACATTTCTATTAGGTTTATTTTTCTTTCATAAAAAATAAGAATTGTTTATAAATTGGTCTAGAATGAAGCATTGTTACAATTGGATATTGCTTAATTTGTACTTAAGTTGAAATAAAATAATTAAATCATGGAAGAAGAAAACTCTCACAGCATTAAAATGTTACATAAATTTGTGTAAGAAGCTGGCAGCTCTGCAAAATATTTCGCAACAAATTGGCAGTAAATAACATAAAATAGCAGAATCTTACACATATTTCGATAAGTACAGAGCAAAAAATGAGAGAAAAGATTGTACATTTTAATTGTAGCATGAACTTAAAATCATTAATATAGAAAAGAACAAAAAGGGGTTAAGATAAAGTATCGCATTCTTTAAAATTCAAATTAATTAAATTTTTTAGCACTGCTATGATATTATTTAAATTGGCACGAAACTACAAAATGTAAAAGATTTTAATAATATAGTCAAAACATTTATGGTAGGTATTTATATTTCTGTTAATGATGCATTACTTCAAAAGTATTGATGGTGATAGATTACTCTCATGAAATAAATTAGCATGATTATCCCTAAAAACATTTTTTAAGAGCAGTCTTCAAAAGTTTTATCTATATTAATTTTAAGTCATCTCCATAGATCAGAAAGCAGAACTGTGTTGTTTGTTTTTGATGTTTTCTAAAGCTTCCGGTTTCTTAATTCTGCACATATGAAGGTACGCTTTATAACCAACATATTTGGAACAAGAATAAATTATAGATGGCACTATGAGTTTGTCAGTATCTGGTTATGGTTTTTTTGGATTTGCCTCGTTTATATCAGAACCGTTCTCACTGAATGCGAAAATCAGATTTTTAATCGCATCGCAAATTCGAATTCGCAAAAGCGAGTTTTTCGCCGCTAGTGTGAATGATCTTGAGACCATATGCACTGGATGCGGAAATATCGCATATGCGAATTCAGAGATGCACATGAGAGCCTGATTGGCAAGTTTTATATGGGTAAATATACTTTATCAATCACCACTTGCAGATGCGAGTTTTCTCATTCAGCGTGCAGGTCCTAGTTAAATGTCTCTTCACTTTCAATCGTAATCAAAGGACCGAAAGGGAGCGGGCCGCATTACCTGATTCGTGAAAAACATTTTCCTGCGAAAAACTCACTAATCAGGATCTTAATTTCTCTCCGAAGGGATCGTAAGTATGTGAACCGCTTTAAGTGAGAATAACTGTGAAGGATCATTTTCACTGCCTGTGATTTTTTTCGTAGCGAATGAAAACCACAATGGTGGGAAAAATTTATCCGCCAAAAACTTTTCAATCAGGTTCTTGATTTACACGTTGTTTATACGCTAGTTCTCTAAACATTCACAACACAAAAAAGATGACTGGAACTTTAAATTATCATCACTTTTATTTCTCGGAGATTGTTTCACTCCTTACACATAACACTCACATAGGCACACTGCCTCTCGTTACACTAATTAATTTCTCTCTAGGGGGCGCTACAACACAATACTCTCTCTAACACTGAACATCCACCCCCGGATTGAATGACATATTCAATGCTTAAAATTAAACAATCAAAAANTCTCAAAACCAAAGCTATCACGGACAATCCAACCTTATAATACCGATAAGCTCTTCTTTCTGTTTCCTTTTTCTCATTTTCGTTTATTCATTCAGCGACCCACCGTCTCTACCTATCTGCCAATTGAGTACAGAGGATATAAATTGGGAAAAACTCCGAGGATGGAGTGCTAGGCGAATTCCAGGCTGTAAGTGCTCGTCTAATGCGCTTGTCTAATCCGGGAAAGGGGCGTGAAAGTGCTTAGGGTTAAGCCCCGGTACGCAGCTGTTTGCGGAAGCATAAGAAGGCGAGCAGGTTTCAGGGGTCCCAGATAATCCGGGACGATATTTTCGACCGCATGATTGAACACCTTCTACTTTAGCAGACTTAACAAAAGAATAGGACAAGAGGATTGCATAACCAATAACGATACAAATGGTGCAAGTCAAGATCTATAGGGTTTAAAAATTTTATATAAAGCAATTGAACAAAAAATAAACATAAATAATAATAAATAAATGTATATAAAAAAAATCACTGATCAGAATACAATTAATCAAGTTTCAAAAAAATCCTCTATAGACTAAAATTTGTCTAACATTCACACATTTTTCTTTTATAAACTCATCAATAGAAATTAAATAGATGTAATGAATATTACGTAGCTCTTCATTTTCTAATAACTCCAGTTTCATTTATTTTGTTTAATCTATAAGTTGACCACTTATTTCAATTAACCACAGAATCTATGCACAGAAAGTAATTAATTACTCGAGTGTCATTGAATTTTCTTTATAAGTGATTCTTAAAACCAAATGGTCAGACAACATTGTTTTTCTACTTTGTAAAAAATAAATTAATGAATGGTAATTAATCTTCTTTAAATTCTAAATAAAATTTTAAAGTCCTGTTAAAGAAATTAGTTGCATTTATCTATATTTTGATTTGTATTATGAATTAAATAATATAAGAAATAACAAATAATAATTATCTATAAGTTGACCACTTATTTCAATTAACTACAAAATCTATGCACAGCAAGTAGTAATCTTAAACTGGTTTTGCTGCGCTTCAATCTTCATCATAGTTGGGTCTTAGAAACAAATGGTTAGATAGCATTGCTCTTCAAATGTGTAAAACTAAGCTTTTTTTTCCACGGGCTGTTAAAATGTTCTTTATTTTATTTTAAGATCAATGTAACAATATGTCACTATTCTTTCTTTTACAGCGGCTTAACTACCAGATACATATGTTACAAGTATTCTGAAGGACAAAAAAAAAAGTCATAGTTCTAGTCCTTCTAAACCATACATCACTTGTCAATGTCATTCCCTAACATTTCGCCTTATAAATGAAACTTTCATCCCTGGGATCGAAGTTTTTCCCCCTTTTTTTTCCAAAAATGTCCGATTTTCCTTTCCCCATTATGTATAAGAATCCATGTTCAATTCCCCTCCATTTTTTTTTTCAAACAGCATTTTTCTTCCTTTTTCCCTTTGCAAGTGATGTGTTAGCTCAGAAATTGGGGGATTTCAGCCATTTTGAGATTACCCAGTTTGCCGTGTGAAAAATTGTTCTAGAGCCTTTGAGTTTTATGCTATAAATCCATTAGAAATAGGGAAGATGTAGTCTTTTACTCAAAAACTTCCTTTCTCTCGAAATTTAAAAGTGTTTCTTTTGTTTATAAATTTATTAAGTTTTCTGTCGTTTGAAGAGTATGTTGAAAACTTTATTTCGCATATCTTTGTTTATTTAAGCATGCACAAACTCTTAATACAGTTTTTTGAACTTTTGGTTTATGTGTGTACTCCGTTAGTTAAGAAAATTAAGAAAAGATCATTGCGGTATAGTATTCAAGTAATCATCCGCGACTATATATAGTTCCGTTTTATTTCGTTATCAAATTATACGAATATGCTTTCAAAACAATATGAAAGCTTTCAAAAGTTAAACATCTCAGACAGAATTTGTAATATCAATTACGATATATGTCATAGAATTATTAAAAAAAAGAATATAGTTTCGTAGTTTTACTGGAATTCCAGACTTCGACATATTTCGATGAAGAAGGAGAACATTCGTTCTTTAAAAAGAAACAACTATATGACGTTGCAAGAGTATTGGATTTGATTGAACCAGTGAAAATAGCGCGTCTTATGCTAACATGCAATTAACAAATCAAATGCGAGATAAAGAATTTTTACTTTTGTTTCGCGGTTTTAGAAAATCGTCTGCAAGAAACAATATTTAATTCTTTCATCAGTTACCTTAAATGTGAACAGAAAAGCTTATATTTGTTACGATTTTTAGATATCATTTTTATTAATTCTTACAGCTTGTCACCTGATCATTCAATAAGTTTGTTTTCCCCATTTCACACCGTTTAAGAAAATAAGCAAAAAAAAGACTGTGCAACGTCGTTTTGAGAGTTGGCGATATTGATATTCGTTCGCGCTGGAAGCTTGGCATTCATTTGGCAAGCACTTAGATACAAGCAGGCCTTCTCCATATGGATAACGGTTTTTTCTAAACTTGCAACAGAAAGTAGTTAATGTTTTATAAATTGCGAGAAAAAAAATTTTTTAATTCCGAAGAAATAAAAATTTCATGCATTCTTTTTGCTTTAGAAGGGTTTCTTTTATTTACAAATTTATTCTTAAGTTCAGTTGAGTTTTCTGATGTATATTAAAAATTTCATTTCGCATCTTTTGACATAACGTGATGACCAGCATTGTTTGCTAACATTTTAGTTTTTGTGAAGTTAGCATTGTTTCAAAAAATTTGCGACACACAAAGAAAGGGAATTTTATGACTTCAGTTTTTACTACAAGATGGTTTTTGTTTCATCAATAAAAATGGGAATTTTTCGAATTCCATTTCCTTCAGAAGTGTTTCTTTTAATTACAAATTTAATCTTAATTTGAATTCAACTTTATGGCGTTTGTGGAACATGCTGAATTTTTTTTTATTTCACATCTTTTGTTTTAACTAAG